CTTCCTTCCTTCCTTCCTTCCTTCCTTCCTTCCTTCCTTCCTTCCTTCCTTCCTATATGTGACAGCATTAAAAACATAATTCAGATCTAAGATCTAAATAAAGTAACTATATAGTACCAGATTGGAGAAAGTTAGCAAATGAGATAAATAATCATGTAAAAAAATTCTTCAAAAAATTATCTTTTCATGTCAAAAATGTGTGTAAACCTTTTGTGCAGCCCTGTTTTAGAGGCAATTTATGAACAATTGTATGAAATAATTCCCCTTCTTTGGGCTATATTGCAGATTTTAATGGCACCATTGAGAGATTATTCATTGCTCAGAATGTCTTAATAAAGACCTTGGACTATAGTGTGTATATAATTTATGGCTCAATAAAATAGTCTGTAATACATTAGTAACAAAGTGCAATTAGATTACTTGGCTACTTAATATAGTGTGTGATGGTTACCAAGAAAGCAACAGTTTTAAGACTGTTTATTAAACAAAGACAACTTAACTTGGATTATTCTCTTTGTTCACAACAAAGTTGTCAAGGAATAAAATCAAGTCAGTCAAATATAACTGGCACCACACTGGAGTTGGCAAAATATTTTGGTCATACATAAAGCAAACACCAAGATTAAGAAAACAAATAAGAATAATTTGCTAAGAAAACAAAACGAGGTAGCTAGAAATCTACTTGCAAAATAGGTAAGGATAACAAGGACCAGAAACCTTGGAGTTTAAGACTGATATTGTTCCCAAATTTATCTGAAGGTTTAAAAGTTTGGTCTACCCAAACTAAGGCTCAGTTGCAAATAATTAATGATGTTTTCAAAGAGTCATTTATTGATACAAAAACATTTCACTCCTGAGAAGATTTTTCTCCGTCAGAGATAAGCATTCCTTTGCCTAAGTATGCCCTCTTGGATCCCTGAGTTCAATGAAATTGACAGGTGGATTAAACAAGGTACAGTGAACCAACGGTTCTTTAGGGCATGGCTGGCTGGGGAATTCTGGAAGTTGAAGTCCACACATCTTCAAGTCGCCAAAGTTGAGGAACCCTGCTTTAGGGCATTTCACAAAGGCTTGCCAGATAAGATCTTTTAGTTGGCTCAATCTTTCTTTTTTTCTAGTGTTTCATAGTTTATTTTTGAACTATTATTGGGAGAGGGGGTCCTCTGGGAAAGGCATATCAGCTAAATTTCAATTCAGAATTTAGAACAAGTTAAAATATCATGCAGATTGTTTAGGAGTACAGATAATATTTATGGTGGAAACCCACCCTAGAGTCAGTAGGCCAGTTAGGAACTCCCTTTACTTTATCTAACTCATTCTTTTCAGGACTTATCTCTGAAATAGGAATTATAAATTAAAAGCTGACCCTTTTGCCATTTTCCTTGGTGCCAGAGAAATACTGCATTTATTATTATTATTTTTAGATAAAAAAAGATATAAAAAAGATAAATTACACTTAAAAGTTAATGGAGTCTTTACGATGTGTTTAAAATTAAAAAGATGAAATCAACTTGATATTGAGTAGTATCAAGATCCTATTTTGGTTTTAAGTGGGAAATAGGCAGGCTTTTACATTTACTTCTTGAAATATTCAGGGTTGAGTCATGGGATCAGATGTTTTGCTTTGTGTGTGTATTGTAGGGTAGATTTTGAAAGTGGATGGCTTTTTTTATACATCTCAATTATGTAATTTCACTATAATATAGTGGGTATCTTAAAATAATTGCATATGTAGAATTCACAACCTCTTAAATATATAAAAAAACACCACCAAATTTAACTTTATTCCCTTTCAAAATCTAGATAGTTCAGAAAGAAGATACAGTTTATATACTGTAAAAGCAAGTGTTTTGATGGGTTTTTTTTTTTTTTTGGTGATTTGGTTTCTTTAATTAATAAATACATGCTAAATGTTGTTAGCATTTATTTATTAATTAAATCGCAATTACAAATTAAAATTTGTAATATCCCACTGGTCTAGTGAGTAAAATTAATGAGACTTCTGTTCTGACAGGCTTCATTACAATTGGGATGTTAAGTGACATTGTTCTGGTGGAAATGGTGTGTTAAAGTATTTGAGATGGAGGCAAAAAATAAATGCTATTTGTTTAGGGATCCAGCTTATTTCAATAAGTAAAAGACATCTGTCACTGTTTTTGCAGATTCAACAAAGAAAATTAGGGATGTTTTAGAAGAATTCCATGGCAATGGTGTGCTAGCAAAGTATAATCCTGAAGGGGTAATTTTTCTTTCTTATCTAATTTCTTAAATTATACTGGTTACTAGAAATTAATATCTTGCAATGTGTGGAATTCACTCCATTACCTTCCTTCCTTCTGTAATCATTAGATACATTACTAGCATATATAAATAGTCCCTTGCAGATGGTTTTAACCCTCATTTATTCTCATCAAACACCTTTGTGGTGCTCTAGAAGTCTTTTTATTCAGATGGTTTCGCTTTAAGCAAGATATAGGCAAGCATTTATCAATATGATATTTTATTTCAACTGACTGCTCATGCCCTAATGTTTGGAGTGGTAATGTGTAGGTGAGGCAATCTGTACATAAAATGTCCCATTGATAAAATTCTTAATTACCTGGCTTCATGTTCCAATTAGATTATATTGCAGTGATTTTAAGAATATTATTGACATATCTTTGGTGCACTGCAGAAACTTTGGCTGCTTCTGCCTATCACAGCAGTGGAACAGAAGCATATTATTCATAGGGCCCAGAAAAAGAAATGGGAACATTGATTAAGTCAGCTGCCATTCTGAAAATGGCAATTTAACTGCATAATAGATTTTTATCTATTATAAATTATAGAAAATTTAACTGCATAATAGATTTTTATCCAAGGCTCATAAAAGAGAAGTCAAATAAAGGTGGTGAAATTACATAGCATCTAAACTGACATTGTTGCATGGCTATTTGCTAAAACTATTTCCTTGCAATTTCATTAATACGGTGACTGGAAACCTTTTTATTGCACGATTTCTTTCTAATCTGGTTAGTAATGAAATCAAAATGTCAGCAAAAAATTCTAGATCTAAGAATAAGGCTGAGAAATTTTAAGACTGTATAAATTTATACACATGTATTTTCTTTCTTTTCATGCACTCCAGAAGCAAGATATTCTTAAACAAGTAAGCATATCTAGTATATGTGTTGGCTGATATACTTGAACAATGCTATTAATTTCTGGAGATTTATTTTATATCTTGTTTTCTTTTCATACTTAGATATTGATGGTAAATTACCATTACAACGTATAATACCATTGATATTTTTCTTGTTACATGACATCTGTAGGTAAAGTGAAGGTAGACAGTGAAGGTAGACAGTGAAGGTAAAGAAAAAGTAAAATAGATTTGATGCTTATTGCACTTTTATAACTTTTACAAAATACATAGTAGTATGAAGGAAGCATATGATTAAACTTCAAAGATGGCCTGGAAACAACATTCTTTGTACCGTGGTTTGGTTGCGGCTGTGCAATCCACAAATATTCTCTGTACCTCTGTATGTTGATAAACTGAGCAGTCCCTGCCACCTCCAGGCATATGGTTGGAAATGCCTCTAAAAGATGAAAGAGAAGCAATCTTGGATGCAGGAGACATTAATAATTGAAGAGGCATGAACAGTATTAAGTAGAGAGCAAAAAGAAAACAAATGGTGAGTTATGGAGATCATCAGCTGCCTAAAGAATTGATAACGACAAAGAATGGTAGAAATAAGACAAATGCTGAAACTGCATGAGAAAAAAAGTGGTGCAAATTCAGCCAAAGAGAGACCTATACAAACCAGTGTTTAAAAAAAAAAAAAAAGGGGGGGGGAGAGAGGTGGGGAGGAAGCATTTGAAACCGAGAGAAAGGGAGAATGACAGATGTTATTGCTCTATTTTTGGTATTCACAGTTCTCACATCCTTGTTACAATGAGTTAGGTCCAGACTTTTGAATGAAAACTAAATTGCCTCCCCAAGGAGCTTCCCATTTTTGCTTAGCTTTAGTCCAGAATGAAGGGAACTAATTTCTATCTTCTTCAGGTTTCAGGTCATCCAGGCTCCTTAGGCTTTAGAAAGAGAAAATAATGCCGAATAGAGTAATAAGATATAGATTGTATTACAAATGTAATAAATTATGCTGAAATGCTAAAACCCCCCACAAATGTGTAATATAATAATATATGTGTTTATTAATGCATTAAATCAATAACAAGACAATACCCTTTTTTTAGTGTATAATAATTTAGGTAGTAAAATTTAGTGAAGTTAACAAACATTTTTGGAGGCCAAAAATTATTTTGTTGCTTAGATACATTATTGACTAAAAAGCTAAATTTCAGTTAGAGATTAGTGAAAATAAGTTGTAATTTTAATGGATAAATTATTCATGGATCTCCAAGGTTTAAGAACCCTTCCTCTATAGAGAGACAGAGGTAATGATGAAACATATCTCTTAGAGAAGGGGATATTTAGGAGAGCCAAATTAAAATACAGCCCCAAGCTATCAGTAAGAATAGCTATCTATTCTTACTGATATTCTTAGCTATCTATTCTTACTGATATTCTTAGCTATCTATT